AAATCGCTCAACCTCCGAAGGCTTTGATTCATCGAGCGAACTTAGTCACGTGGTAATCGATGAAATGACCAAAGGAGGTTGAAGGATCAGAGTAGACTATCAAATCAAGAAAGAGAGAAGCTTCCAAGTGCGAAGGACTGGCGAGCGAATGAGTGACATTTTCAGCCTTCTTTAAGCTTTGAAGAATTCGCACAGCTTGGCTTTCCCTGTATTGAGGCAGACAGCTCCCGGCTGGCAGCCGGCCGCCTGAAGGGTGATGAGCTGCTGTGATTGAGTGCAAGAGGAGCGAAAAGACTTGTGGCACGGAGTAACAACATCCACGAGAGAACAAAGCTACTCGGAGCCCAGCAATAATCATGTAGCATTTCCGAATAATCAAAACTTCATACAGATACTCTCTACTATGTAATCCTGGCCTGATAGTAGTCCGCTTCAAAAGGAACTATAAAGCAGCTGAGAGATCCGACCAATGACCTACAGTTTCACACGGAATCAAGCACAGTGGGAGATTCCCATCATGCACGGGTTTGCCCTTGGCTGGGGCAGACGGACACTTCGTGTCCACGGGAACGATCGGCATGCATACCGAGTAGCGATGGTCCTGAATCAAAAATCGGTAGTTCGTCCCCGGATAGAGGTTTGTCTCACCTTAGAATACACGCCAGGGTACTGTTTAATGCCGTCCACTGTTGGGCAAGTGTTATTAGCAAAAAGTGGGCCGTACAGCCGGTTAGGGGGATACCTGAATACACCCTTCTCCCAGTGCTCGTTGAGTATGCGATAGTCACTACAAGGACTCAGAGGATCGCTGGGAAAGAAATAACAGTACGGTCAATAATGTGTGATTAGACATACTCCACGGTCATCTGCTGCTGGAGGACCACAGCCTCAGTCAGTTGTCCAACAATCGCGCATCCGAAGATGTAGGCGCACAGCTTCATCAAGGACATTGGAACGTACTAAAGTGAATACTCATTCTGCATGAGTCATGCATCATGACTCTCAACCTTGTGTCGAAATACTACATCAGGGCCCGCAATTCGCGAGGGAAATCCACGCAGCTTTCACGTGAAAGAGCCAAGCCGCGTGAGATCCGA